AAAGAGGTAACATCTGGGAACACCTGACTTATGCAAATCCAAGAACTTCCTGAGGGAGCTGTGGGCCTGACCCTGTGAGTATTCTTCAGCCTCACTGCTCCAGTGCTCAGAAAGCTGAGGGGGAGTAAATCGGTGTGCTCAATCCTTTCTACCCTGGGAAAACGCCAGCTGAGGAGATGAAGGAGCAGAGGGAGTCCTTCTGGGACCAGCGACCCCCCCCCAGCCGGAGCACTGCTGACCCAGAAGAGCAAAGACTGCTGGGAAGTCCATGACTCAAGAGCCTGACCTGCCGCAGATCCCCAGCAGCTGAACACGCACCCCAGGGAGTCAGTGAAGGAAAATACCAACGTACCTGTGGGGTCTTCGAAATGAGAAAGAGAGAGAACTGGTGTATCACAGAGAACAGCCAGTACAAACCTACAGGAGAAGAGATAAGGTAATCTCAACAGAAACTGACTATGAAAATGACACCCGAAGGAGCCACAGATACAGTGTGACACGCACGCACACACACACACACACACACACACTCATGTTCTGGATCGAAGGAAAATCTCATATTCAGACTAAACATTTCAGGAGATGAATCAAAGGAGAGGAAGATTACTGGTGCAACTGGATGTGGAATATACCAAATGGAGAAATAAAACACATATCAAAAATTTAAAGAGATGGAAATGATGAGGTGAAATCAGAGAGGTTGCGGGGATGATGGAGGCAGCCAAATACCTGTCTATTTGAATTATTCAATATTGGAATTATTATTATTGGAAAAACGGAAATTCATCAAATGGAGGAAGTGGAAGGCAGGCAATAACAAAACAAAACAATGGAGGAAATTTTCCCTGAAATTTTTCCAACAAAGACCTGATCAGAAGATTTTAAGGGGTCACTGAATTCCAAACAGAGCTTCCCCCACCCCCCGCACACACACACACAAGACGAACACCAAGTATACATATGAAGCTTACCAACCTCCAGAGAGGGAAAATAACTAACTTACAATGAAAATCAATGAGGCTGGCACTGGACTTCTCATCTGCAATACTGGAAGTAAATGATGATGTAATAATATCTACAGACTTTTGAGGGGAAAAGGGAATCCTAAAGGAAGACTAATAATAATATGGGACTATAAATACTGAAGGATCTCAGCCTGGTATTTGGGGAGGGGCAGGTGGAGAGGAAAAGAGTTAAAGCATTTAAATCTCTTTGGGGCTTGGGGAGCATGATGTAAAAGAATTACAATCGGTCATCCTTTTTTTTTTTTTTTTTTTTTTTTTTTTTTTTTTTT